TGAACTCAGCAAAGAAGAAAAAAGGCAGCTGCTCTGTCTTACTTGGTTGAAGATTTCTAGCCAAGAAGAGTACTGTTCCAAAAGTTTGCCTTTTGTAGGTTTCCTATAGTTCTTTGGAAAAGGACATGTTTTGATAGTTACTAAATCAAGGCCCATAACTTATTTAAATATGGCTACAATACTAAAGGACAGGCAACGTAATATGGTGTGGTCTGCAGCCCAAACTATGGGCACATACCAAGGTTCAACTGGGTTTAAAAAGGCCACCCAATCTAACTGCAGACAAGGTTATTTGGGTGAATCTGATATCTTTTATTAGACCAACTTAAATAGTTGGGGGACGGGGGAATTTAGCAAGCTTTTGGATTTAAAAACCTTTCGTCAGGCTGAGGAAGCCTCTACAGTTGGTGCGTGCTCTTCCTGGATGGAAAGAATCGTAAAGCCAGAGGCTGGGCTGGTATGCATGCAAGACAGGCAGTCAGTGAATCTAGCAATCTAACTTACACTTAGATCCCCAGGTAGGGCGGTCTAAGTGCAAAATGTACAAGTTCTAGGAAGGTTAGATTGATCAAAAATGGCTGACCCAATCTAGTTTAACTGTACCTTAGAGGTGCACCAAGTTAGATGAGGTACAGGCAGACTGCTCTAACTGAACTTCTGTACACATTCTTGGGCAGCTCCAGGGCTGGAAAAGCCCAGCTGCTGGCCCCATCCCCAGGGTTATGCTCTTCCTATGCCCTATTTCCTCACCCTCCCAACTCAACACAGCATTCCCAACCTCTCCCCCTACCCACAGACAGATAACCCACCTACCCCACAGACCAGCCAGGCCACCTCAAATCCTGCCAAACCCCCAATCCTGTCAACTGCTCCCAGTGTTGATTTTACCAATGCTCACTGGTGTTAGGAGCAGATCAAAGTTAGTCGGGATGGGGGGAGGGGCAGGTGGAATAGGGGGGGTTGTTGGGCTGGGGGAGAGGAGAGGGTCAGAAGGCTAAAAAATAGCCCCTGTCCAGGGGGGGGGAAGCCCCCCCCCCCCGATCCCGCCAACCCCCCCATGCAAAGCTGCCACCCACCCCATCCATCTGCTCCTCCCCCAACATGACTTATTTCAATTTGGCTCCTGGGACCAGTGAACACCAGTAAAACTGGCCCCAGGAGCAGTTTGTAGGATTGGGTAGGTTCAGTAGCACTGACTGGGGACATGGGGGGAGTGGGATCCAAGGGGGTCTGGCAGGATCAGAGTGGCTCTCCAACCCCACCAACCCACATTGATCCCCCCATCCTTCCCTTGTGGACCTCACTAGCCCCCCAATCCCCCCTGTACAGTCTGCTAGCCTCCCTTGATCCCACCAACCACCCCCACCATGGACCTCACTAGCCCCCTGATTCCCTCCAAGCCCCTCATCTCCCTACCCTGATTTACCTTAGATCAGACTCCCAGCACCAACCTAATAACTGAGCTAGACTTGGGG